CCTTCCCAAGGAAACGTCATCTTCTTCCATCAGCCCAGCTCCAAAATGTGGAGCTCATCTTCCAAATTGAATATGTCGGGGGATTTCTCACAGAAAAACAGTGCAAGGGCAGAAAGCAGTTCCTTGCCTTCTCAACCCTCAAACACCCTAACACCTGCACAAACAGTGCTGGGCTGAGCTGTTTTCCTTCACAAAGTAAAGGCAGTCTTTCTCTTTTTGCAGCCCATCCGCAAAATTTGGATTCCAGCGCCAGAAATTAGTAGGTCTAAAGACTGCTTTTGCTCAACAGGTGAGTGAATATCAAATGTTCTGCCCCAGGAGCTTCAGATGCAGCTTGTGTGGGGTGTGTGGGCAAAACCCTGAATGTGTGTGGATCTCTGGAAGTCAGCCCAAGGCCACGGAGTTTCCCTAAAGCTTGCCATGGGGCTAGCTGGAGATGGGAACACACTTCTGTGCCCTGGGATCAGGGGCAAGTGAAGCCCAGCACTGCTGAGACAGCTCTGTGTGTAAATTACTTTATTTAAGTGTAAGGTGGTCAGACAGCAGCGAATGTCAGAGAGCAGATGTGCCTTCAGCAGCCCCACAGAGACCTCAGCACAGTCCAAGAACATGCCAGACTAGCATAGAACCTCACCTTTCAATACTCCTGTTGCTACAACACATCACATCACTCTGATGAAGGTAAGCTTGTGCTCAAGCACTGCACTGAATCACCACTTGGCACTGTGAGGAAGAGCCCTCTTCATCTCAAATGTACCATTTGTATTAATGCCCTTCTTTCCACCATGACACACCAAGCACAGGGCTGCTGTGAGCAGCAGCATCACACTCTGCTGTGTTTGGAGAGTAACTTACAAAGCTATCACAACCCTGCAGTACTTTTCTGTCAGTGGTGCCCAGCATCATCCTGAGGGCCTCTCTGCTCCTCTCTGGAGTAAATACACAGAAAGATTGTCCAAAGTCCAAAGGTTTGAGGCTAGGAAATGGTTACTCAGTGTTCAAAAACAGGGCATTGCCTCTCAATTTGAACATAAGCCTATACAGCATTCTCAAACAACAGAAGCACTTTGGGGAGCAGAAATATTTGTTAACCTTAGGAGGTTGAGCCTGGGAAGTTACAACAGTAAAAAATCAACCACAGCTGGGAGATACAAACTCCAGATGTCAGGCAGGCTCCACGGGGACCATCTGCATGTAGCATTCAAGGGAAAGGGATTTTATGTCACTGCTGAACCATAGATAAGGGTGGTGTACCTGATTTCCTGATTTCCTCCAACCTGACGTGTGAAAAACATTTCCTGCTTCTGTTGGTTGATGTGTTCTGGGGGAGTGTTCCAGGGGCCTGCACAATCCCTTTGCAGGTTATCCTTCTCGAGTCCCAAAATACCACTCAAACCTACTCCAACTAGCTCAGTGAAGTAAAAAAATAGCCATTTCTTCAGATCAACATGAACTTTCTTACATCTTCTTGCTCAGCTCTGCAGTAGTGGGGAAGTTGTTCCAAGGCAGAAAACCACACTGGAAGCAGCCAAGGGTGAGGAAAGCACAGAGCCTGCACAAATCCCCAGGTGGCCAACATGGCCCAAAACCAAGAGAGCTGGGGCCCAAGGCTGAGCAAGTTTTCTCTGAAGGAAACAAAGGCTTTGGCAAGAGTTTGTGGTTGTTACTTCAGGAGGCAGAAAGACCTCCAGGAAATGAACCATCTACAGATCAGCATTAAAGTCAGATTATTTTCTGCATTTCAGAATATTCACCTCAAGCTGGTGCAAAGCCAGGGCCATCCAGCCCCTTCTCTGCAACACAACACTGCTTAGTCAATGTTCTCAGACTCAGTTCACCTACCTGTCAGCTGCCTGAGTTTCAAAAACTCTTGATTGAAAAGACCTTCTGAGAAAGTGGAGAGGCCTTGGGCAGCCACAATGTCTGACTCCAAGCACTAAGACGTACAAAGCTCCAATGCTGTGAGCCAGTAGACTGACACCAAAACAATCTTTGCTACAGTTTATTAACAAGAACAGCCTGATACATAAATTTGTGTTTGGTATTATATTCCTGTCAGATTTGTCAAACAGAAGTTATTTATGGTGTATAGGGAACAAACAACTTTTAAATGGTAATTAGAAATTTTAAATGGTAATTAGAAGATACCTCAAGCCATAAACAAATAAAACTCCATTTAGAGTGGAGGACAGCCTTGTGTTCTCATGGACCCCATGTCCCAGGGGTGTGCTCTCAGCTCTGCTGAGCTCCCTGACCTCCACCTGACCAAGTCAC